CAGGCATAACTAACTGCTTTGTGGGAAACCTTTTTGCAGGGAAATACAACGTTAGAACACAAGACGCAATAAAACTAAATTGTTTTCTTTTTCCCAAACCACAGTTTAGCGTGAGTAGCTTTTTCGTCCCTTACACCCAAACACACACTAATCTTTCATTAAATTTCTCATCTGCCGAGTATAGGATCTTAGTTTACTATAAAAGAAATATATGGACCCGATCGACAACAATTTGGACAATTTTCTACATTGTTTACATTAGCTTTTGGTGTTTGAAAAATTTTTTGTTAAATGTTTCTAGATTAGAATTTAACGATAATATCATAAACCATGATAGTGGTTCATAATAGGGATCGCATAAGAATCTGTTCAAAATTTTAATTGAACATTCGGGCAAAAAACTTCTTAAAAAGCAGACTTATTCTTGAAACAACACTCAAAAATCTTCCTTTTCAATAGTTAACACCAACCAAATATTGATAATAAGCAAAATAAGTGAGTTCACGATTGTACACAAAATCAAAATTTGCGCATTTGTTCATATTGTTATGCCCCCCAGTAGCACAGTGGCATGTCTGCGGACTTACACTGCTAGAAACCGGGTTTCGATATTCGTGGTGGGCAGAGCAAAGATAGCCACTTGTGTAACTTTGTGCTTAATTACAAACAAACATATTATTATTAATATTATTATTTCACAAGCCTACAGCAAAATCGGCTGGGTATTTTGCACCAAAACCTAGACAGATATATCATGACGTATTTAAAAATTGATTATTTATCATTGATTTACGTGGTTATAAATATATAATAGATGCGATGTTGTTCTGAGCGGCGGCTTTTGTGCTCGATGCGTGTTAAAAGTGTGTTTACACGAAACTTCAGGCACAAATCCACCTGGCTCAGTGAATAATTACTTTAAAAGACACAAAGTTTTATTAGAAGCGATGATTTAGACGTATTTGTTTTATTTCAAAAGAATGCTTTTCTACTGGCAACATTTTATACGCACTTATTGGAGGTTTAGTCTTACTCTAGGCATATATTTGACCATTGTTGTGCATTAAAAGAGCCAACATACAATATAATTAAAAATTGAGAATTCAATATCTACAAATAGGGATCACAAGAAAAAGTAAGTAAATAAGCTGGAGATCTACTGCTGACAGTTTGCTCAAGCTACAAATCCATATTATGACTTCACTATAAAATTATTGCAAGTGATATCTACTGTAGTGTGGGGTCACACAGGAATTTTACAAAAAACTAAGAGAGTAGTTTTTAACTTAGTTCGACCTCCTTAATTTTGTCGTGCTGCGAAACTTTCTAAGTCTTTCACTTTCCGTCATAAAAAAAATCCGATGCTTTCCTAGCGTGTGCGTTAGTTGGAAACTACAATTCGTGGATTTTCTAGCGCATTAATTGGAAAATTCCACGTGAAAGGTTCCCGGTTTTGCTGTTGCATATCGTTACTAGAGTCGCTAATGTGCATTGTCACTCAAGTTTGTCTCTACGTGGATTTCCACGATTATATTTCAGCAAGTTTTTAATACTGGACGATTGCCACAGTAGATTTTCCTACTGAGACGACGATGGTGATTCTTTCTACTGTTTTTTATACTTAGCTGAAATCGTGAGTGCGTATTCTGTATTTATTACCACTATATTTCATATAGCTTTTGCTATTTTTACATAGTTGATGTTATGGTAGTGGTTGTAAATGCTGTCAATAACTGACGACTTATGCTAACTGTGTCGCTGTTGTCTATTTTGCATGTATTATTTGTGTCGTCTAACTATAGCAAACACTTGTGTACAGCAGGCTGTTGAAGAACATACATATGTGTAATGTAGACTTAACAATGTAAGAATGTTACTGCGTCTGTTTACATTGCATTATTCTGTGTTGTAATATTTTAGAAAAAAACATTATTCCGTTCTGATGAGATTGCTTTGTTGCTGTTCGTCTTTTGATACATTACACTGTGACATTGATGGAAGCTGGTCATTGAATATTTGATGATACAATCTTTGCCTTCAAGATGGTCTCCTGAGAACAACTTTATATTTTGTTTGTTGTAGTTGCATACTAGTATGTGTGTTTATTTTTTGTTGTACATTTGTTATTTATTTTGAATAACTTCAGTATGGTGGTTGGTTGGAAAAACCAACGCAGCAATAATTTCTTGAAAAACATGTTACATTCAACTGAACGCATATGCACTTATGTAGCTTAAAATTTATCCTCCATAAATGGACATAAAAACGTAAGAAACAATATTAGTAAAATTTGTGAATTTAAAACATAAGTACTGTAGACATGGAGTAAAAATATGGATTTGTAGCTTGAGAAAAGAATGTAGACGCTATTTCTAGCCTTGTTTATTTACTTTTTTTAAGTCCATAGTTGGAAATATAATCTTTACATTTTAGTTCAACGTGTTCCTGTACTTTTTGACGATCCCTATTTCCCCTTTCTAAATTAACAATTTTTACTAATCTTGTATATATGTATATATTTAATTAAAACGCTGCCACAATACAAACATCCAACACCGGGGCACAAATCATAAAATGGGTCATGTAATATGCTCTGGTTTTTAGAGGTACTGGTGGAAGTAAGACCCAAATTGCGTTGGAGGTACACTGTCTATTTAGTTTAACCTCAACTTCGCCGGCTTCACATGATTAAGAAGAAGAAAAACAATTGGAGCTGATGTAGGTGCTCTAGCTTACAACGTCCCACATCTTCACCATCTTTCGCTGTCTGCATCCAGATGTGGGAAGATGGTTGCTCACAAGAAAAATTAATAATAATAAAAAGCAACAAGAAATACTAAAATACAATACATCAATGGAATAGACAGCAAAACTGTCCTTGAAGTTTGAACATAAATGCCAAAATGTTAAGGAATTACTAAGCCCAACAAAAATTATTAGTATAGCTCCAATCTTCCACCCTTCCATGCTCCTATCTGGATCTTCAAAGGTTCTTACACAGTAGCAAGTCTTATATAGGGAAGGTGATATAACTACTACTACATTAATTTACCTATACAATATATGAAATGTCCAATAAGTATTCCAATTATTTCCCCAACAATAAATTTTAGAAATTATTTTTAATGTGCATATCATAATTTTATTTAAATCACTAATTCAAATTTGTATAAATATTTTCTATATTTATTATAACATATTTTTAAATATTTAGTTAAAGTTTTCTCTTCAAACCCATTAAAAATCAGTTTGATAATATGATTTCTAAGTTATAATGATTTATTGCCTGAAAACATAGTATTCTACCAAATGTCCAGAATCGCCGTTTACAAGGTGCTTTAAAAAACTCAAATACTGTTTGAACAAAAGTTACTTTTTAGTTTAATTTGTATATGCTCCTCTTTTGAAACCTATTCCATTTCGAACGATGTAAAATCATGTATTAAATACGCTTCACATATTTTGTCTAATTTTACAGTTGTTTTTGTTTGAACATTTAATGTCAGAAAGTGTTCATCTTTGCGAAAGTATACATTAAACATGGAAAATTTAATGTTTATATGGATGGATGTTTATTTTTCTTGCTCATATAATATCAAAGTAAACTAATAGTTATTTTTAGTTGCTAAAATTTTAATGGAGATTAAAATAGTTACGATTTTTTAACGCAACATTTCACAATTGCAAGTTAAATAACTAAATATACTTTTGTGTTATGTTATTTCTGATGGAAACTCTTCGGCTTCTTTCTAATATGTTTTAATGAAAATACATCGATGTGTTATCATCTTACACTCTTGGTAGGCTCCCATTGGCAAAGCAGTATGTCTACGGACTTATAACACCAAAAAACTGGGTTTCGATACCCGTGGTGGGCAGAGCACAAGATAGCCCTTTGTGTAGCTGTGTACCAAACCAGCAAAAACTCAAATCATCTTAAATCAAATTTAAATAACACTTATTTGCATACGCTAAATAAGTATCAATAACAAGATCCATCTGTTTCTTGAATATTATATTAAAAATGATTGATAAAGGGGCATTTTCATTGGTTGAAACGGTTTTATTTTATTAGCAAAATAAAAGATATTTTAATACCTTACTGGTTCGGTGACTTGTAGCGATCTGTTATCAACAAGAAAAATTTTATTGCACATTTCCTCAATTATCAAATCATCGTTAAGTCATTTCTAGAGATAAAATTATCTAACAATAATTCATGTAAATACCTGGAGCCTTACTATTTCGAATTATTATCGAGAAAAAAGTGTAATAAATACTTATTAATACTTCTTATATTACACTATTTTAGGATAACTTGAATATTGTGTTGCGTCAGCGAGGTCACGTGAGTAGTATCACGCCACGTCCTTCTAGAAATATCCTGTTCCTTCATGAATGCTCTAGCGTTTACTAGATATGTGTTAGTTTTGTATATATATAAGACGGTCACAACGTGATGGGAACAATGAATAATTGAAGTGCAGTCACAGAGAATATTGTTGAGCACGTGAGAAGTTCGTTGTGCATTATAGCGTTTGTTATAGAGCGACTGTTGAAATTAAGTGTATTGCAAAGTTCTATTCAGAGAGAATAAACCAGTTTTATTTAAGAATGGACTTATGTCGCTAAAGTTTCGTCGGGACGAATTTACGGAAAATTAACTAACGAACGGAGACGTAACAATTGCTTAATATCATTACTATATCGCAGGCCTTAGTACATTTAAAAGTTAGTTGTGTGGTTCAGTTTTCTGTCCGAATTTTTATTATACTACATAAATATTTTAAAGACTTAAGAAACAATCCTAAAATAGTTAAAATTCCGAAAAAAATTGGAGCCAGGTTTTAGTGGAAGTGAATAATGTTAATTTCAACAAATGTCATGTGTAATAAATATACTTAGTATTCCGAAAATTGTTTAATCTCGAAGTCTACGTTCAAAGGATCAACGTGTTATACTAGTTTCGGAGAATTCTACTCCTCGTCAGTAACCCTGAACACAAATTAACCAAAGAAAGATAAGCTGGACCTATATCTTTATTTTGCCGCGCAATAACAGGTATATTATATTGTGCTGCTATATAATGTGAAGAACTGAATAGTGGTCAATGACTTTTTCTTCACTTCACTTATCCAGTATATAGTTTTTTCTCATAGAATATTAAGCACGTTCACACCAACAATATGTTTGAAATGTCATTTATACCTACCAGTTGCACTACAAAAACTGATTCAATTTTCATCGAGAAGTCACTCTAGTGTCCCAGCCCAAATATCGAAATAATTCAGTGGGAGGTTATAGATTTATATAAACTTCATCAAACGCTATAACTAGGTGTTACAGTCTAAATTACTGCGAATATTATTTGTCATAGCGTTTCTTGAAAGAAAGAAAATTAACTTGTCCCAGCCCAAATATCGAAATCATTCAGGGGGAGGTTATGCATTTATATAAACTTCATCAAAGGTATAATTAAGTGTTTTACAGTTTAAACTACTGTGAATATTATTTGTAATAGCTTTTCTTAAAATAAAGAAACATAATCTCCTTCAGAGAATTATTAAAATATTATGTGATAAAAATGTTATGCTATTCTTGCATAACAGGCGTCTCTTCACGCTCCCCACCTAGGCTAGCAGCAGGTCCGGTAGAGGGAGCCCTGTCATTGGTAGAAGGTGCTCTGGCTGCTTCTCTATAACTGGGATCAGCAGAAGGTGTTCTTATGTTACCCCTATACCCAACATCAGGAGTGGGGCCTCTGAAATCACCGCCATAAACCTATTTTTAGAAAAAATCAGATAAAAGTTCACTTATTACTTATAATGCTACTAATTAAATAACTTCTCCAATTTATTCGAATGAAATATGCACGATTTTACATTTCAAGGTTTGTATTTATTTCCGTAGTTCCCGAAAGGCCAAAATACATAAAATAGTCAACAGCGCTTAGCATCTAGATTATATATTTAAAAAAGGGGGGAGTTGATATGTTATTTATTAAATTTCCTACAAAACGGGAAGTGGAAATAAGACATCTAAACAACTCCATTAGACTTGTCAAAAATAATTATTACGAAAGCTTACAATGTCTCGTATGTTGTAATGAATGTCTTCTGTTTTATTCTCCTAGAAAAAATATTTTTAAGACCAAATGAATAATACTTAAATATTTAGTAATTTAGGCGTAAAATTGCTATATTATTACTTCGAACAATATGCAGTTGCTCAGATTTGTTGTTCACTGCTCTCTAGCAATATTTTATGATTTAAATTACTTTTTTGAGGAGTTCATGACTAAAAGGCTCTTTGTTTTTGTTTCTTTTAGTAGGCTGTTTGTGTTTTTGCTTCGTAAAAGAAGACAAAACTTCCTTCTAGATAGTTCGAAAATAAATTTATCTCTGATTTGATAAACTCATGTTTAGTATATTACGACCTAGTTCGAAGTATCTGAAGATGACGCTTTAATTTTCTGAAAATTTAGTTCATAATTATTAAAGTTTCTAAAAGGTGAAAAAATATCTGAAACATTGTTTCAGGTAAAAATAACAAAAAACTTTATTTTATTTACTACGTTCTAGTACACTCAAAATGTCATGAACAATATACAATAAACATTCCTTGCAAATATATCTTTGTGACGCTTTTCAATAAAAATGCGAGATATTATGGCAGTTTTACTTAGATATATAATATTAGCTCATCTACGTATTTTTTTTTTATTTTAAATTTGTAAATTTAAAGATATTGCAATGTGTTTCGAAGTTTTGTGTAAAAAAGATAAAAGTGGCATACCTGATGACTTAAACAATAATTCCCTGCAATTATCTTGTACTTAATATACCACGTCCTAATTTTTTTTTTTTTTTTTTGGACTGCACACCGCGCATCTAACCTTGCTTGACTGATCAAATGTACCATGAAATACCTAATTACTAATACTTTTACTTATGAAATATTTTGTTAGTTAATACAACTGATGCTGCTTTTATGGTGTGGTACTTTAGCCTAGCATATTTCTCATCCCCCTTAGATAATATATAATTTTTTCAAGAATTTTATATACGTTGAATCTTGTTTTTAACGTACAAAGTTGGTCAAGGGAACCACTAAGTTTCTCTCGCCATAGGTATTCGTGAAACTGAGTCAGTCAACCATGGAATCACATGTGCCTCCCATTAGAAAGGATTGCTTTAACATAATGCATTTTGTATGAAAAGTGACAGTGATTCATTCTATTTGCTAGATGAGTGATGCTCCCACAATATAACATTCCTTCTCTTGAAGTAACAGCGACACTTGCATTTTGAGAGAACTTGTATTATTGTCTTCCCTATATAATGCCATGTTCTCTCAGTATGGAAAAACTTTTCAACTTAACCAACTTTCAGTTGACAGCTTAGCTTAACATTCTCTCTTTCTAATAACAGCACAATACAAATATGTTTTTCACTTTGATTGTTTGTTATAAATATTGTATGATTGTGTGCAAGTTCTTGTCCAGTAATTTTTTGTGCGTGTGTGTGCCAAATTCAGGGAAGTCGAGCTGCTGCTCCACAATACACTTTCTGGCGAGCCTCCAAATATACTATTAATTTTTCTTAAATTCAGTAAGCTGGAGAATACTATATCCTAAACTACAGGTTTATGATAAACAATATTTAAAATGTACAAATGATTGGTATGTTATTTTTTCTTTACGCAACCACACACACAATACTTGTACATCCTAAAAACAGATTTTAAATCAAATGAGTTTTTGTTGCTTCAAATTTTACAAATAGATTTAGTAATAAGCTTATTCCTTTCTTTAAGAAATCTTTAACTCTCACTCCCTTTTGTAATTCGCAATATAACTCTTAAATTACTTTAATTACTTCTTTGGAGTTTCATCTCACTTACTTCAAAAGTCTACCCGACAAGGCCCTTGTGACTTGTGTTACTGGCTGGTTGCCTCCAATGAAGCCCGTAATTCAAACTTAAAGACGGCTATACCACACTAATCGTATACTGATTTGGTTCTTTTAGCCCAAGTGCCCAAAAGGTTGAAAATAAAATATATTTGTAGGTATTTGAAACTGATGTGATACATGGATATAATTATTCTAACTCATAACCTAACCATAAATAAAATATTATATAACAATAACCTAATGCACAAATCTATAATGTTGTTAAAAAGCTTTTTAACAGAGATGTATATTTTTGTTAAGAAAAATAATTAAAACAATTATGTAAGAATTATTTATAAAACAAATATTTTTCAAGTTTTATCTGTACTTTTAGCAGTTTTGAAAACTGTTTGAATCCTGAAAACAAATCTAAACCATCATGTATGTACTTTTGTTAGCTCAACATATGATGCTTCTAAGTATAAATTGACTTAATTAAATTAAAACCTATCTTTATATATCACACATCATTCCTTTTTTCGCCCCCCAGTGACACAGGTTTACTTAATATTTTATAACCCAACTTTAAATAACAACACAATAAAAGCTAAGGCACAGAACTGTAGTGTTTTGAAGGGTTTCTTACCAAATATTCCCATCATATTTTAATAGGTAGTGACTGTTTGCAAGTACTAATTCAATAACTAATCCCACACGTATCTTGGCTGTTATATATAGACTGTTACATTTTTCCCAATAGTTGCTAAGATTCAAGAAAATAAAACAGTGGTAGTGGTGGTGCACATAATTGTAAAGCCTGAATGAAAATAAGCAGGAATAGTGTATTGTGTTACTATAATTTCTTTAAGGATGTGTCTTGGCATTTTAAAATATTTGTATGAAAATAAATCTTTAGGCTTCAGTCCCTTAGAGATACATATATTATTTAGATACCTAAAATCTAATACTAAACCTGTACTTGTGCACTTGGTGGACAACAGACGACAAAGTACTTTAGTATCAGAAGTCATTACTCTAGAAATTTTCACATTGTCAAAACATTTAAAACTACAGCACAGAAATTAGTATGTGTGGAACTATTTCTGTTGTAATTAGTCAAATGTTATCCTCAAAATTTCTAAATGCCATTTTAAATTCCAGACAAAAATAGACCAGTGTGACTTCCTACAACTGGTAACACCTTTTTTATATTCTATTGTTTTTTTAAGTTATGCATTCCTTTTACAATCACTGTGGTCACTGATGTCTGATGCTCATATTCAGATACCCATTCATAATGATCATAGTCATGCCAACAAGAGGAATGAGAAATGGACTAGTTTCAAGCAATGCTTTTTAATTGGTGCAGTAGATAATGAAGGTGTATAACTTAACACAGCACAAGAACATTGAATATAAAAATATAAAATAACAAATGCAAAGTAAATAAGAGTGAGACTGTGCTCAAAACTTTTAAACAATACAGACAGCTTTAAGTGGAAACATTTAACCATCCACCTCAGCATCGCCCTCTTCTTCATCATATTCTCCTTCTTCTTCCACAGTTGCATCCTGATATTGTTGGTACTCAGACACTAAATCATTCATGTTAGATTCTGCCTCTGTAAATTCCATTTCATCCATCCCCTCCCCAGTATACCAGTGAAGAAAAGCTTTACGACGAAACATGGCTGAAAATAAATATACGAAGTATGGATACAAAAATTCTCTTTTATGAGTCTTAGTAACCAATTGTATGAACAATACCAATCTAGGTAAGACCTGACTGGCGCAGTTAAGGATTGTTCCTTTTTCAAGTTGTCAATGAGTAAATCATTCTACAAATTTAAACTGTTTCATGATATGTATGGCTCTATGATTAATAAAACAAGTATTTAATTTTAAATTAATTTTTCACCTGAGAAGTTTAAAGATTTCATTCCTCTGTTTTTCAGTTTTATCTGAACATGATTTGCTATGGCAGTTTAAGATTTGATAATGATATGTAATAGATAAACTCTAAGATGAATTCCAATACTCCTCCTAAACTCTCCTGTTCAAGATGAATATTTTTTTTAAATGACGAGAAATGCACAGAACCAATTTAATATGTAACATACCTGTGAACTGCTCAGATATTCTCTTAAAAAGTTCTTGGATAGCTGTGCTATTACCAATGAAAGTAACAGCCATCTTCAACCCTCGAGGAGGAATATCACATACAGCAGTCTTCACATTATTTGGGATCCACTCCACAAAGTAGCTGCTGTTTTTATTTTGTACATTTAGCATTTGCTCATCTACCTCTTTCATACTCATTCGTCCTCTGAAAATGGCAGCAACAGTCAAGTAGCGACCATGGCGAGGATCACATGCTGCCATCATGTTCTTTGCATCAAACATTTGCTGGGTCAACTCAGGAACAGTCAAGGCTCGATATTGCTGGCTTCCTCTTGAAGTAAGAGGTGCAAATCCAGGCATAAAGAAATGCAGACGTGGAAAGGGTACCATGTTTACTGCAAGCTTTCTTAAATCAGCATTAAGCTGACCTGGGAAGCGAAGGCATGTTGTGACACCAGACATAGTAGCACTAACAAGGTGGTTAAGATCACCATAAGTTGGAGTTGTGAGTTTTAAGGTACGGAAACAGATATCATAGAGAGCTTCATTATCTATACAAAAGGTTTCGTCTGTATTTTCTACTAGTTGGTGAACTGACAGGGTTGCATTGTATGGTTCTACAACTGTATCTGAAACCTAAAATGTAAAATGTTAAGAATAAAAAGCAAATACTTAATTTCACATTAAATACTACATCTGGCAAAAAATAGACTATTTGTGTAACTTTGGACTTGACATTAGCTTTAAATAATTAGTTTTTCAGTACTTGGGTGACAACAGTAGTTAATGTTTTATGACTTATTGTAAGTAGAATATTGTTGATAAACAATTAAGTAGCTTTTAAAAAATGGTCACTTGAACTTCACCAGTACTTTTACTGGAATATAATTGAAAACAGAAAAAAAAATTAAAATGTTTATTATATGTGCATATTCATAAAGGTATTTTAAAAACAGCAGGAAAAAATTCACTGAAAGACTTATCATTTCAGTAAGAACTACAACAGGCTACTCATACCTCAAGTTATTTCAGTAAATTGTTTTAAATTGCAGTATTATATATGTGAAGTAGCAACTTCTATTTTATTTTTAGTTATTATTTTGTTTATCATTCCTTGTATTGTTTGGTTAAGGTATATTTTTATTTACCTTAAACACTAGCTCACCTGCCTCCTAGTGTATAGCAAACATTAAACAAGTGATTTTTATATTAAAACACCTACATGAGGTTCCCCTAGCAATGACATATGGATACTAGGTTCATGATTAATTATGTAAAACAAACTTTTAGTAATTAGTATGTGACATGTAATATTGTGGTCGGAGAAAGTAGTGTGTGTGTGTGGGGGGGGGGGGGGTAGAGATTTGTGGGATTGTGATTTATAAGATATATGTTTAAAGATGTTACTGCAAGTATTCATTTGATCTGTTATTTTTGTGATTTAACATTATTTCTTTGAGAATATTGTTACTGTGAATAACCTTATTAATTGGGTTTTCTTCTTCTGGTTCTTTTTTCTTGATTTGTTATTATTGCCATCATTACTTTATGATTTTTACATTAACAGCATTGCTCTTTTGTATTTTTCTGGATATTAGTGTTTATAGTTGAAGATTAAGGTAGTTGTTTATTTTCAATGTACTGGCCAGGCACTATTGCATTAGTGTTTAATATTTTGTAAAACTTGTATTGTGTTTAATAAATCTCTTACGTTTTCATACCCTGGTAGTAACTTTGTTATTTGATGCATTAAACATTCATCGTGTAATTAAAAAATTTTCAATACCGAGGTATTTAAAATTTCACTGATGATAATTATATCATAAACACCTCTATCTGTTAACATTATTCAGGTCCCACAGTTCTTTTAGAAGTTAAAGAAATGTTAAAAATAAAATACTGTTTTTAAAAACCCAAGTTATAATAAATATTGATTATTGAGCTGTTGACACATTAAAAGAAAAACGTTTAAAATACACATACAAATGAAACTAGAAAATACACTAGTATGAGTTATATTATTATTAATTCATTGGCCTAAAACAAATGTAATGATTTCATCCAAAATTATTTTCTAAAGATAATTTCCTTTACTGCAGAAGTGAAATGTAATAAAATATTTCTAACCTTTGGAGAAGGTACAACACTAAAAGTATTCATGATCCTGTCGGGGTACTCCTCTCGGATTTTAGAAATCAAGAGTGTACCCATGCCTGATCCAGTCCCTCCTCCTAATGAATGAGTCATTTGAAATCCTTGTAAGCAGTCACAATTTTCACTTTCTTTCCTGCAGACGTCCAACACAGAATCTACCAATTCTGCACCTTCCGTATAGTGGCCTTTTGCCCAGTTGTTTCCTGCACCACTTTGGCCTTAAAATTTTATAGAATTTTCCATGATTACACTACACTGAAAACTGTCATTATAAAAAGTTGGTTGTCAACGTAAATGTACTTAATTGGAGAATATTTGGAAATAAATTAACACACTCATAATCCAGTTGTAATATTTACAAAAGATATAGATATAATTATTATATAAATAGTTTACTGGATCTTAGCCTTATTTCATATGTTTTTATGTACAATAACAAAAGTTTGTAAAATAAAACTATGAAAATGTGGAGCTTTAGTATTTTGATGTAAAGCTATAAAAGAGCAATCTGCATATAGCCATAATGGATTCATGGCTCCAAAATGTGGAGTGCATTTTTCAGTAATTGGAAACAAACCACAAATTCTCACATCCATAGTTCAGATATACTAAGTTTTACCAAAACATGAAAATATCCAACAAGTTGCTTAATTTTTTGAAATTATGGTGCATGCTTAAAAGTTACATTGTTTATTTGATTTTTAATACAAGAGTAAATAAAAGGAAGCAAGCATTTTTTATATGGTATTGGTAATGCAATATTTTTTCTTAAAAAGAAAAAAGAAAACTATAGTTACTGAAGAATGTGTTTATTTTATTTTATAATTCTGCACCAACAAAATATACATGAACATCTGTAGAATTTACTCCAAATGGGGGTGCAAGCCATTGCAGAGCACTGGCCATTTGCCTTGAAGTTTGAATGTGATGGTCTAGCTGATTGTTGCTCATTTATCTAAACCTACTTTTGTCATTTATATTTAAATAGTATTATTTTCCAATACATTTTTAAAATAAACTATTCAAATAAATTCTCTTTCTGAAATTTCAGGTGAGGGGTAGTAGTAAATGCCCCCCTCCCAATCTTCTGACACACATATGAATATATTAAGAAAATTAATTACCAAACACAAAATTGTCTGGCCTAAAAAGCTGACCAAATGGTCCTGATCTTACAGAGTCCATTGTCCCAGGTTCTAGATCCACCAAAACTGCCCGAGGAACATATTTTCCTCCTATGCAACAATAATTATTTTCATTATTTGTACAAAATACATTAATGATAACATACAAAAAATACCTTATATTACTATGTTACTTGTTCTTTGTTTCCAAAGTAATACATAATACCAATTGAAACTCAGTAACATATCATAAGAGATTTTTTTTTCAATATTCACTTTAGTCATCTACTGTAAATGTGAACTCAGGAATAAATAAAAAGGTATTACCATGTCAACAGTTAAAATTTAAATGAAACATTTTTGAAAACAGTAATATATACAAATAAAGAAGAATATGTTTATAAAATTATAAAAACTACTTAGTACATCATATATTTTGCTACTGTCCTTATTCATGTTTAATACTAGGTTGAAGTTCACAGTCTTATATACTGTACTAATAAACTTTATATAAGAAACTTAACTCTTGTTTTGTTTACACTGGACAATAATGAATATAATAATAATAGTCAAATGTGTTACCAGACTTTACATTGTTATGCTAAGGAAACTTCATGAACTAAACCATCAATTTCAAGTTATCTTCAAAGAGACTCATTTCACAAAGACATACTATATTCTTGGTGAGCTAAAACACATACCTAGATTCAACAATAAGTGAAAGTATTAAATAATAAAAGCTTAAACAATTTGTTGTTGTTCTTTTAAATTTTATAGTGCAATGTTACTAATGCTGTATGCTCACATTATTATATATTCTTCTATTTTAACAAGAGTAAAATAAAGTAAAATCGTAAATAAGCAAAAAAAGAACACAATGGATGATTAAGTGTTGAATAAGGTTAAAAATTAAATATCATTTTTATTATCATCATTTCCAATGATAAAGTTTCTAATTCATTAACCACTATAGACATTGTATAGTTTATTGGTAGCATAAACTTACCAATAAGACAAGAGGACATGTCATATGACACACAAAAAAGGATATTTAGCATTTTGTTTTGACTATTTTCTTTTGAATTATAAACTATGTTTTGATGTCAATTTTATTGACATAGCTTGATAATAAAGTTCTTTAATTATATTTTGTAAATAACTCTAAAATGTTGTAACACGTGCCCTTTCCAATGAGAGAGAGGGTTAACTCTAAGATCCCATATTGCAGAAGCAATGAGTACTATAATTCTGAATATACTAAGTTTACCTTTATAAAACTTGCTAAGCTTTTAGTAAACATTATAGGTATGTTGTACACAAAAGTTAGAATATTTCATAAAGTCTTCTTAATAAAGCTTTGTCTGTGAATTTACTCAGTGTGACTCAGAATCTGACTAGTTAAGTGCAAGATGATTTTCATGTTAAGAATAAAAATACTTTATCATCTTACAGTTTCATACTTCATTTGCATAGCTTCTAGAACCTCTGAAATGAATATCAAAAGTTTTTCATAAAAATTAATATTTTTTCTAACCAACACCAGCTGTAGCTAAATGTTTTTCTTTTTATAATGACTATATATTATATCAGACAACTACACACTATTATTCTTATAGCCAAAGCTAATACTTTTCAAAATTGAGCTTATTTAGTTTATGGCATTACAGCTGTACTTTAGACCCTCTCAGAGTACAGCAAAAGCTATACATAACAGCAGGACAGTTTTATGTAAACAAGTGACTTAGTTAACAGCATGCATGTCAAATTACACAATCATATCTAGTGTATGCAGGAGCTATAATAAATAATTTGTATATGAATTTCTTTTTTTTTTCATTTAAATTCTCCTATATAACCTAATAAGTTTCTAATTTTTACACTATTTACTTTGTAATGATAATTATAAAATGCAAAAAACAAGAAGAAATTTAGTATTTAAGTGAGGGATGTTGTACTTTCTCAAGTATTTGCTCTCAAAGTCTTGATGAAACTTAAATCTAATTTTTGGTATGGTTGTTGATAGTGCACAATGTAATTTTTACTTCTTTCAAATATGCAACTTAGAACATAAAATATTAATATACACAAAACATACAATGTCCTAAAACTATTATAATTAAATTGGCTTACTAACTGAGCTATAAGTGGATTCAAATAATTCTGTTAGCTGTTTGACAATAGCAACACTGAAACTAATTCCGAATAATTCAGAAACTGTCACAAGAATGACTTTCTTGTTTATATCTCAGTACAGCAAGATGATTGGATGTTACAAATTTACATTATGCCCCACTAATTATATACTACAAGTACATAATTTGTGCTAAACTCAGACGATCATATAGAAGTAGAAAGAAAATCTATAATAGGCAATTTGAAACAACAAAGTGTCACATGACATAAATAAATGAAGATTGAGGATTTATTTAAAAAGTTTACTGATATAAATTGATAATAAAGTTGTTTAACTAAATACTGAATGATCTGTAAAAGAGCATGACGTGCACTTTGACCTCCACCCCTGCATGTAGGGTTAACCTTATACAGACAGTGGGATTTTTCAGTTTGCTTTTGGGACACTAAAGATTAGTACTGTAGAGTTAGCAGGGTGTTAAAGTTTAGTACTTATGGGAATCTGACTGCAAAGTTATAATTTTCTTACACTGAAAATGTATTTCTGACAGTTACTACTTACTACTGCTCACATACATAGCTATTCTGGTTCAGTGCTGCCTTCTATTTGCAAATATTTTTCAAATGCCCCAAGCCTTTCACTCCCACGCATACTTCAATTTACATGATTTAACTGATTCTTGCATGCAAATTATCATGCAACAAACCTCCACCAACAGTAGTGACACACTCACATGACTCATTTGACTTCCTCTAGGCTATTCTACCTAACTATCATTCGGAGTTTAGGCACAAACATAAGCACCAATTGACAGTGGGGAGGAAGGGTGGGAAGTGTGAGTGGAAGTAAGAACATGTTGAAAATAAATACATTTTCAGTGTAGGAAAATTATAACTTCCGATAAGTAGCTAGAATCCCACAATGAATAAGTGGAGGGACTGGTGCAAAAGAGAGAGTAGAAGCATCTGAAGGATACTAAGGAGGGGTCCCTCTAATAAGTGGATTATACGTGGGAGACTGCACCACTTCAATACGAGGTATACTCTTTGCCCAGATGTGGAAAAGGTGTGATAGATCTAGGCAGAAAATTGTGAGGAGCACATTTCAATGGGAGAAAAAATGCTTGGACAGTGATCCTAACCACAATATGTTATAATTTCGATCTTCCTGATGATGGGTAAAATAAGGGATATACCTCAAGGTGTAGAGTAACTAGGACATGATGGACCATACACAGCAAGTCAACTGCACACAAAACTCAACTGCCATGAACCAACATCGATGTGGGGGTAGGATGACGATTATACCATCGATAAGTCAAGTACAATCCAAAACTCAACTGCCAAGTTGCAAAAAATAATGGATGCTAAATATTTAGCCATATACCATATAACGACAAAGTAATGTAATTTGCTAACATAAATGATAATATATTAATAATTACTATTTGTGGTAATTATAGATATTGTGTTTTTTTCAGGTGCATCTGGCCAAAGTTAGGCAGGGAACAATTAGAGAGAACACTAGGGAACATGAAGACTAGGAAGATGATGAAGATATTAATTGATGATTGTATTATATGGAAAATAAATAATGAAATTAGCTAAAAACTTGGTGTCATTTTCTGCAAGTTTTTTGGTTATATTTTGATTAATTCAATGTTACATAGTAACATTAGTAAATAATGTTCTGCTAACTCAAAAAAAACTTTTCATGGTTATATTATTATAATGTTACCAGGAAACATTAATGTTGGTTACAGATAATGTTCTTGTAACGTTAAATTGTTTGTTGGGAAAATATAAATTCCAAAATGTTTTACTTAAACTTTGTTAAAATAGTGTTAGATTATTATTTTTAATCAAAGTTTGGGATTTGATATGCAGGTGCGCATAACACCTAAAATGTACTCACCAGTCATGATAGGGTTAAAGAGATTTCTTATTAAACAAAATCTCCATTATTTTAAATAACAACAGAAGTTGAATTAAGTCTCTTAAATTTCTTTTCATTAACTATACAGGTATTTTTACTTATTTATTTATTCTGGGTCTATATCCAAGTTCCTTTACTGGTTTTACATTTTACAATTGTATTTGTTTCATTTTGAACCTATGTTGTTATCTGTAATTGCTGTTTGGAATTTAATGTAGGAATATGCTAAAGATGGAATTTGCATATTCTAAAACATTCAGTAAATGTTATTTTTATCACTTCTGTGTTTGTGTTGGTTATTATTACTAATTTTATCAGATTATGATTTTTATAGTTTTGTATGGTGTGAATTTTTATAGAAAGTAAGCATTTCAAAATATATGATAATTCACTAGAGGAAAAAAAGTTCAATGCTAAGTTGTCATTTTTTCCCTTTTCAAATGAATTTATTACTCATCAATATTTTACTTTAACTGTACATGTTTTAATTGATACTGTAGATTTTTGCTGATGTTATAGTGAATCCATTTTGAACATCCCTGAAAATTAACAAGTTCTTTATAATAATTAAACTTTTTTATTATCAAGTTAAGAACAGAAGATCTTACTAAGTGCCATACAATCACACTTGTACCCATTGGAAAATTTAGATCCAGTCATTGATATTAGTTGATGCTCTACAAATGCTTGTGTTTCAAAGTGACTTAAAATCCCACTGCATTGGTACATTAAGTTTTTAAACACAATTTTTGAAACAGCTGACTGTTATATAAAATCTGAGCAAATTACCAACTGTGGAGGTTTACAATGGAAAATAGGTATCATATCCCAGAAGGATACAAAATCACTATTTCAAGTATCCATACAGGATTGTGATGGCAAGATAAAAGGAAATATGTTTAAAAATAATTTTATCTCATTAAAAATCTTCATCATGAGCTTTTACTAGTACACAGCACTAACTATTAGCCAAAACATCTGGTTATTGTTGGTTAAATGACTCTCAAATGGTTAAAAGTACAAGTTGCATGATTTATTTCCTACAAAAATACACATACCTGTGGCTTCATTGTAGTACACATTTATCCTTTCCAACTGTAAGTCAGAGTCTCCATGATAAGTACCTGTTGGGTCAATCCCATGCTCATCTGATATCACTTCCCAGAACTACAAGGAAAATTTCAAAGTTTTAGTATACTAGCTGTATCTAAGAGCAAGCACAATGAAATTTGATTAAGTTGTCAAGATTTAACCACTCATTTAATTTTATTGGTTGCACATATGTATATTATCAGTGTATGAAGCACTGCAGATATGGTTCCAAGTCAGGGTCACTTCTGTACTGTTAGAGATCTGATATATCTTACATGTACCATGTATGCATTCACTATTCCCAGCCAAACTTATGCTATGGCATAAGTAACAGGATATATGGGCCATACTTTCATTTCTAGATGCAAACACTTATAATTTTGTTTGTTTTGTTTAACCTGTACATTTTGCACTATACACACCACAAAGATTGAGCCCCACCAAATTCAGTTATAAGCTTTCAAGTTTACTGCTGAGTCACTAAGGGGAAGCATATATTCAAAGTATATATTATATATTTTGATAAACACAATATACTGATTAAGATTTTGTATGCTATTTAACTGGTTTAATCAGCTTAATTAGCACAATGCCAAATAATCAACTGAGCATACCTGCACAAATTACTATGGAAGTAGACAGTTTTACATTTTTATTGGAAAAAATACTAAAACTTAAAAATTAACCAGTAGAGTGTAGTTAAGGCAACAACAATAGGTTTATTTGCTTCAATGCATAATAATTGTGGATTATACAGGGTGGGCCAAAAGTAGGGTTACAGTTAACACTTAAACATTTTTCCTTTATTAGAAATTTAGACATTTATTTATATACATTATATTTACATATTAGACATTTTACATTAAACATTTAATCTCTCAAGTGCTCAAAGTGTCTTTATTATATAATTATAATATAATAATATAATATAATCTTACTTATATAATTGTGGATTATATAAGTAAATGAATGGAAGTTATTTTTCAAATTATTCATTGGTCTAATAAGGCAACTTAATAATAAATAATATTTTTGTACCACTCGCATCTGTATCTAGAATGAGTTGATCCTCCAGTTTGATATGCCACTACAGGAGTAGAGGTCATTTCCTTCTTCAGTTTGTTGTATGTTTGTTCACAATGAGCAGTCCATAAGAACTTATTTGGCTTTTCAAGTAATTTGTGTAGAGGACAAGTTATGTTAGAAAAATATTTAACAAAATGACACAAGTCAGAGCACAGCCCAAGAAATCATCTTACCTCACATATGTTCTTTGGTGTTGGCTGATTTTGTACAGTCAGATTTTAATGGGTCGTAGACACTCCTTCCATGTTAACAATGTATTCCATGAAACTCACCTGTTGATGGAATGAATCACACTCTTGTAATTTGGCTTAAGGTTCTTTTTTTTTTTTTTCAAGCAATCCAGAACTTCTTCAGCCCTTCATAATCATTATCACTGGTCTTCCTATGTATGATTATGTCATCCAAGTAGATAGGTACCAACATTCCTGGGTAGTTCAGACAGAACACACTCCATTAACTGTTAAAATGGAGCAGAAGCATTACATGATCCGAATTTTAACAAGGCAAATTGCCATAGTCCATTTCCATGGTAAAAGCTGTCTTCTTCTTACTTGATTTGATTGACTTGCATTTGTCAATATCCAATCCTAAGATTCAATACTGAAAACTATTTCAATCCTTGACAGTGGGTAGGAATCCTTATTTGTAATTTTCATTCACCTTCCAGTAGTCCAAACAGAACTTTGTAGATGCATTCTTCTTCTGCACATGTATAATAGATGATGCATAAGGACTTCTATTTAGTTCTATCATTCCTTTTTTTGTCATGGCTTCTATCTCTGTTTGCAAGGGAAAGTTGTCTAACTAACTGAAATATTGGGGCTGCCTCCTTTATCAATCTTTCGACATACTTCACTTGTTCGGCCTAAGTCATGAGATCTAATGGGGATGGTGTCTTGATATTCTATGAGCAAATTATGTAATCATTGGCAATGATCAGTTGTTAGACCTCTACAACTTTGTTCATAAAACTCTTGTAAGTAAGGTGGTAAGTTACCCTTATGTAAAGGTTTGACATCAAACTTCCTACATCTTTCATCAAAGATGACTACTTCAAATGATTTTTTATGTGGATGTACTACCTGTACAGATTCCAATCTTGCAATGTCTAATCCAGATTTGACTAGAATTCTACGGTTAGTTGTGCTCATGGCTCTAGTGATGACATCTTTATTAATCAGACCAACAAGATTCTACCAGCCATCAATCCATCAAGGATATGCTGGAGTGTTTGGTTCTGTTCATTAGGTGTAAAATTATTTCTAACAAGTTTTGGAATGAGTATTTCATTTCTTGTTGGTACAATTACTGTTCTCTTTTGTTGTCATAGGGAGTTCAATCTCTTGTGTAGTATCACTGTTATTAATGCATAGTGATTTCCTGGACATAAACTATTAAGCTATTGAAGCTAGGCTAACCTTGTATCCATGTTTCTGCATGAAGACAGTTTCAAATATGCAATCTTCCTCTATATCAATTACCCAAATATCATGAAGTGTGGAGAAGTTGCCTACAATAAGGTTAACTTCTAATTTTCCTCTTGCTGGAGTCTTATGTTTGCTTGCTGTTTGAATCATTCCCTCTTATTTCTTCATATCTGGAAGCAACTTCCAATCTTTTGTTATCAAGTCAATTCAAACTATTGTACCTGTAGAACCAGTGTTGATCAACATACTGCAAGACTTCCCATCAATAAATCTATGGCTAGTGGACAGATTTCTTTAAACAAGGAATTTCTTATTTCATATCGGGGAAGATGGAGTATTCTTAGCTGACCTTTGCCCTGTACATTCAGTTAATTCCTGGTTCCTGATGTCTTGTTAGACTTTATTGTTCCTTCAAGCTGGATGGACTCAAAGACTCATACTTGGTTAATGTCTCTTTGGTGTCTTAATAGTTGTCAATTCCTCACAATGTTAGCAGTAATGATCAGGTTTCCCACATCTGAAACAGTTCCCCCCTTTCTAATATTCTTATAAAGGAATCCGTATTTCCCATAAGCTTTTGTCTGCAGTTCCTGGAAATATTTCAAGTTATACTTGAAGCATTTATTATCTTGTTTATTTTCTCTATTATGTGTAAATAATTGTTTAACTAATACTTTTAGTTCTTCTAAGCTGTTGTCAGTGGGAGTTGATGCTTCAACACTAATCAATCTTACATTCCTGTAGTTTTGAGATAGTATTTTTCCTGTTTATCTGTGACTTTAATCAATTCTAGTTCCATTGCCAACTTCAAAGATGTATACCTATTCTGCTTCATCCTAATTCTCAAACTTTGTCTGTTAAGATGTCTATAAATTGGTCTCATGCCAAAAATTCCCTTATTTCGTTAAAAGCATCTGAGTAAGATAACTGTGTAAGCCTTTCCAAACCTGTGCAAGTACTCTTTCCTCTGGACTCTGTTCAGAAACATTGCTCTGGATACTTCTTTCTGCTGCAACACTATGAACCTGTTGGATAAGGCAGCTACCAATACCTGATGTTTGTTATGGATCTCAGATGGTAGGTTACTTAATGCTGTCAAAGTTGGTCCTTTTAAATGGATAGCTTGTTGTTCACTATTCCACCCATTCATTTCAAAAATGATTTCAAGATGAATGTGGTACACCTCCCATAATAGGTTTCTTGACTAGCTGATCCTGAACTGGCCAGCTAAGTTTAATTCTTCTTTAAATAGTAGGTCTCTTTTTTTAACTTCTTTAAATTCCTGACAGGTTCTTCTAATTTATATTACTCTTCTTCCTGGTCTTTCTTTAATTGTTATCTCTTTTCCTTGTGGTTTCCTTTTAATTTTCTGTAAATTTCTTCTTCTTTAAATGCTTTGCATTTATCTCTTTGTTCTTTCTATTGTTTTATAATGTCTAGCAGGTTTCCTATTTCACTCTGTTCCCTGACATGAAGTTAAGTCAAAGTTCTATCATATTTTCACCAAAATAATCTGATATCTAATGGCAGTGTTTTAAAATCATTCTTTTGTTGGCAAATTTGTTTCAGTTATATGGTAAAATTAATTCAACATCAAGTCCAGGTAATGATAATATATTAGTTTATTTTCTTCTTTAAGATTTCTATTAGCATAAACACTGCAGTCAATTGTAGACCATGTTTACACTCACTCTAAGTGTACTACACTAATGTAAAAAGCCAACTCACTTGTATAAAGCAAAAAGCAACATAATATGTGCTAAAGCTAATCCAGATCCAAACACTTTACTAAATACACAAACACATTACCTAATTCATTCTACCCACTAGAAACAACTCTCTATCATGTCAACTTTCTTAACGTTTTAATTTCCTTTACTGAACCTTGTGTATATAATCTATAATTGAATTTACTAACATTTGGGTCAAATATTTTAGAATTTCCTTGGTGTTATAAGCCTACCTTAATATCATCATGACCTACAGCTTCCTCTAGCTAACATATATTATACAACATTAATAATATAACTTATAACAATATGTTTTAATATTTGGGCCATCCTACATCTGCTATACCCAATACCGACAACAGCCTTTCCTCCAATCAGTACCAAGGCTGATCAGGCCATCTGGGAAGTAGTCTAGGTGTTATATATATATATATATAA